ACCCCAAGGACTCCCGCCGCCAGGTCCACGTGGACCCTGGGCCGCAGTGGAACTGGAGCCCGCCCCCCGCGCTTGGGGGAGGGGGCGCTGCAGCCGGGTTCCCCTTTTTGTGGAGCTCAAAGCCTGGGGAAGTGATTGCTTAAAGGTGGGGGCCGGAAGAACCCAGGTTTCCGCGTCTCCCTCCCCCCCCGCCAGCCCGGTGAGGAGGGGCCGGGGCGGGACACCCTGTCCGCCCCCGCCCCCACCCCGCTGGATCTGGCAGCCACTCAGCCCTTCGAGCTGTAGGGGAGGCGCTGCGCCCCCGGCCCCAGCCGATCGGGGGCTCCTGGCGCTAGCCTCCCTCCAGAGCGCCGCAGGAGTCCCTCCTGCCGTCTGACTTGAGTCCCTGCTGCTGCAGTGCACGCCCCTTCGGCAGCCAGGGTGGGGCCCAGACCCAACCTGGCCCCTCCTGCCCCCACCCCGCCTTTGGGTCGCTGGTGAGTAGGGAGCATTGAGGTAGGGGTGGGGGCGTCAGAGGCTGGAGAAAGAGGCACCTGGAGGAGGACACAGGCTCCTCCAGGCGGGACCCTAACAGCAGCGAGAGGAGCGTGGTGGGTGGGTCACCACCACCATTTCAGAGGTGGGGAGAGCTGGCCTTCCTTGGAGGGGCCAGGCCAGGGCTCGTCCACCAGCCAGATGTGGAGGGTGGCAGATGGGAAAGGCCCTGGGTGGGCGCTAAGAACTGAGAATGGAGCCCCTCTTCAACCCCTCCCAAAGGTTATGACATTTTTTTCTGGGATTGTCACATTTTCTTATTCTTTTTTTGGACTGGGCAGGCTCTGGGACGTTCTTTTTCCTTCTGTGGAGCAAAGCAGCAGCCACTCCCAAGGGAGCCTCTATCCCCAGAGACCAGACGTGCCGCCTGTCCAGCCTCTCCCATCCCAGACTTGGGGGCCAAAGCCTGGGAGGCTGGGGAAGGGGGGTCCCCAATCCCAGGTTGACAAGCAGGAGGACCCTAGTTGAGACTCTGTATCCTCCAGGAGAGAAGGGGGTGTAGCCTGGGGACATGGGTTGCCCCAGCTGACCTGAGAAGGGTACAGGAAGCCCAGTCCAGGGACAGGTGACCCGGTCCAGGGCCTGAAGCTGGGAAAGAAGGGGCTGGCTCCCTCCTCTGCAGCAAATGCAGCCCCTAGCACCCCGGCCCGGCACCCCTAAACACGTCCCCTCCTCCAGTTCAGAGCTGGGGTGGACATGGTAGCCCAGGAGGGACAGTCTCCGGGGTGCTAGAGTGTGGGGGAGGACCCTGGGTGGGGACAGAGAGGAGGAAGAACTGCTGCCTGGGGAAGTCACGGACAGCCCCGTCTGGGTACAGCTACCAAACCTCAGGTTGCCACGCCCCTTCCTTTCCCTAGAAACTTGACCCCTGAAAGCAAGCCCAGCTGCGGGGCCACCTTCTGTCTCCTCATCTACTTGCTAGGAACCTGTGGGACCCACAGTCTCAGAGGAAGCTGGGCAGGCGGTGAGGGGCCGAGGTCCCGGGGGATGCTGCACCTGCCCCAGACTTGGGCCAGGGCAGTGGCCTCTACATGCCCAGGCCTCAGGGGTATTGGGGGCCCTGAGAGTGCAGAACTCCAGCACTGTCTCCTCTGAGCGCCATTCACACACCGTCCCAGAAGGCCAAGAGAGACCAACCAGACAGAAACAAGCATTCAAAGGCCACAAGCTAAGGGAGGCGTGGCGGGGGGGGGATGAAGATTGAGAAAATAAAGTAGAACCAAGTTGTGAGCTTCCTGGCCAGGGAGGAGGGTGGTGGACATGCACGGAGGCCCAGAGGGCAGAGGTGGGCGCAGGTGTTCACAACTGCCTCTGGGGCACTGATTGGCCCCCCTGTGCCGTTGCCCAAGGAGACCTGGGGTTCAAAGTGGTATCTTAGGTGGCACGAGGGCCACCCACAGCTTTGGCGCTCCTGGTGCACCTCCCCTGCAGATGGTGCAACCAAACGCTGGGAGGTACACGCACCACACCACACCCCTCAGGGACTCTGAGGCTTTGACTGGGGAGCAGGGTGCCTCCACCCACTGCCACCCCCACTTCCCTGGCTGGCGCACCCTGTGGTACGGCCTTGGTTCCACAGCGGTTTCACAGCCTAGAGGCAGTGGGCAAGGAGGGAGGGAAGTCTTGGGAGGGAGGTAGCAGGACCAAAGAACCATGTTTGGGGGGCATGTCCCTCCTCACCAGGGCCCTGCCCCCCTCCCCACACCCTCAGAAAGTCCAGCCCTGAGTCCCACTTAAAACCTCACTGCGGCAGGTCTAACCTGCTGCCCCTGGCTGAGACCTCTGGGACCCGCAGACAGACCTGGACTCTTGGTGGGAGCCGCTCTGCCCACTCCCCACCCCAGACGCCCTAGAAGCAAGTCTGGCCACCACCCGCACGCACAGTTGGTAGCCCCAGACTCTCGGGGCCCCTTTGGGAGGGGCTGGGAGCCGGAAACCGAGAAAGAGGAACCCAGGCTTCCGGCTTCCCAGGGAGTGAGCGGATGGGGGTGTCTCGGAACCTTCTGTGGGGGCCTCATCTGGGGCCCAGCCTGGGAGGAGGGGCCAGAAGCTGCTGCCGCCCCCTCCTCAATGACCCCAGACCCCCTCCCAGCCCTGCTGTAAGCTTGGGGTTGGGGTAGAAGCCCTGGGCAGAGCCGGGTCCAGAGGCAGGAGCAGGCCCTGCTAGGGAGACACCCTCTCAGGACCCCTCCTAAGGGACAGGCAGGGGCTGGGGTTTCAGGTTCTCAGTCAGAACCTTGGCCCCTCTCCCCAGACCCCCAGGCTGTGGTGAGGGTCTGAGAGCTGGCACCACGGAGCCTGGGCAACCTCCTCCGCCCACCCATGCCCACCCCGCATGAGGCTGAGAAGCAGGTATGCCACCTCCCCTTCTGCCTCTGCTCCCTTGGGGTAGATGGGGTGGGGCAAGCTGAGGGGCCACAAGGAGTTGGGAGATCCCTGAACACCCGGGAGGCCAGAAGGGTCATGTGCCTGGGAACAGGGCCACCCATGGGAGGGTGGGGGAGAGGTGGAGGGTCTAGTGGGTTCTGACCTGAAGGCTGAGGTAGCCCCATTTTTCCCCAGAACACAGGGCCAGAGGAGGCGGACCGGCCCCCTTCAATGTCCAGTCATGATGCAGCCCCTCCCGCAGCCCCCAGCCGTAACCCCTGCTGCCTATGCTGGTGCTGCTGCTGTAGCTGCTCCTGGTGAGTAGGGCCTGGGGTGCCCAGCTGGAGAGGGACTGGAGGGCCTGGGGCCAAGCAGACCCAGGAGGGGACCCAGTGGTGGCTTCTGAGGAATCCCCGCAGGTAGGATGCTCCTGCCACCTCGTGTCTGGGGTCTGTGGGCCCTGGTGATGAGTGGCCGGTGCCTTGGGCCCAAGGGGCTTATGTGTGGTTCTTGTACCTGTCTTGCCAAGGGTGTGTCGGTGTGCTGTGTACACGCATGTGCCCGTTCACACGGCATGTGCTTATCCATGCTGCTGTGAGCCAGCCCAGGCTGGGCCCTGGGGGCCTGCGATGGAGTAAGACAGGCACAGGCCGGGTGCAGTGGCTCACGCCTGTAATCCCAGCACTTTGGGAGGCCGAGGCGGGCGGATCATCTGAGGTCAGGAGTTCGAAACCAGCCTGACCAACATGGAGAAACCCCGTCTCTACTAAAAATACAAAATTAGCCGGGCGTGGTGACGCATGCCTGTAATCCCAGCTACTCGGGAGGCTGAGGCAGGAGAATGGCTTGAACCTGGGAGGTGGAGGTTGCAATGAGCCGAGATCACGCCATTGCATTCCAGCCTGGGCAACAAGAGGAAAACTGTCTCAAAATAAAAGAAAGAAAGAGAGAGACAGAGAGAAAGAGAGGCACAGACCCCACAGACTGTGTGGGGTGGAGGGACGTTTGAGCAGAGACCCGAATAAGGCAACTGCTGGCCCTGGGGTGATAGCCAAGAGCTTCCCAGACAGCATGCGTCGGGGGAGAAGAGCACAGGGTGGTGGGGGGGTCTTTGGGCATCCCTGTGAGGGTGGGAATGGGGCTCCCAGATGGTAACAGATTTCCTAGGAGTGTAGGGGAGCTGGTGCATGTTTTCATGCCTTCCAACCCTGGCCGATGAGAGGACAGCGCTTCTGGACCCAACATGGGGTCAGCTGACCCATGGGCAAGCTGGGGGTGGCCAGGGGGCAATCGGGAAAGGGGCTGGGAGGAGCCCAGGGGCCTAGTTCCGTCAGGACGTCTGGGTGCATGATGTCTGCCAGCCGTGCCCTGGAGAAAGATCAGCCGGCTATGAATTTGGGTCCAGCATTGACAGGGTACTAGGAGCCAAGGCAAAGAAGCAGTTTCCCTTGAGAGAACCAGGGATCAGGCTCCAGGACCTAACCAGTGTGGACACATGGGTTTGGGGCTTTCAGTGGTGTCAGCTGACGAGACACACTGCTGACATGCCAGACCTGCAGCGTGTGGCCCCATCAGTGGGACAGGGACAGGCCAAGAACAGGCCGAGGAGCAGGGTGGCCATGTTCCCAGGCACACTCTCATGGGTGTCCCTGTTCCCAGGCACATGACCCTTCTGGCATCCCAGGTGTTCAGACATCTCCCAGCTCCTTGTGGCCCCTCAGCTTGCCCCAACCCATCTCCCCCAGGGGAGCAGAGGCAGAAGGGGAGGTGGCATACCTGCTTCTCAGCCTCATGTGGGGTGGGCATGGGTGGGTGGAGGAGGTTGCCCAGTGGGCCAGGGATGGGGAGGAGCACCAGGAGCCAAAGGGTCCCTCCTGGAGGGCCAGAGACTCACGGGCACTGGGTCAAGGTGCTGGGATGGAAGAGGGCTGAGTCCGTGGGCACTGTGGCAGGGACAGTAACCTGGACTGCAGATTCCGTGGAGAATTCAGGAACGACTGACAGGGAGCATGGACACCCTTTCCCAGGAGATTGTGGGAGGAGCTAGCTGCAGGGGCTGCCCTCCTGCAGTGGGTACACATGTGTCAGATGCCTGCCCATGTGCTGAGGGCCTGTGTGGCCATGGAGGCGTGTGTGCCCACGGCAGTGCCGCTTCCTCTCTGCCACTAGGAACCAAGAGCGGCGGCGCGCATGGCAGGCCTCCCGGGAGAGCAAGCTGCAGCCCCTCCCCAGCTGTGAAGTATGGTGAGTCCAGCCGGCTGGTGTGTGCATGTTGGGGGGCCCCAGTCCAGGAGACTTGAGCCTGACGTAGCCTGGCCCCAATGCCCGCAGTGCCACGCCAAGTCCTGAGGAGGTGCAGAGCTGGGCCCAGTCTTTTGACAAGCTGATGCACAGCCCGGCGGGACGCAGCGTGTTCCGGGCGTTTCTGCGGACAGAGTACAGCGAGGAGAACATGCTCTTCTGGCTGGCCTGTGAGGAGCTGAAGGCCGAGGCCAACCAGCACGTGGTGGACGAGAAGGCGAGGCTCATCTACGAGGACTACGTGTCCATCCTGTCCCCCAAGGAGGTGCGCCGGACACCACAAGGGGCAGGGGGCCGCCTGCTCCGGGCACTAGGTGGGGAAGGCACCTCCCAAGCCCCCTGACCTCAGTGCCTTGTCCTACAGGTGAGCCTGGACTCCCGTGTGCGGGAGGGCATCAACAAGAAGATGCAGGAGCCGTCCGCACACACGTTTGACGACGCACAGCTGCAGATCTACACACTCATGCACCGGGACTCCTACCCACGCTTTCTCAGCTCTCCCACCTACCGTGCCCTGCTGCTGCAGGGGCCGTCACAGTCCTCCTCCGAGGCCTAGGCCGCCCCCAGCAGCACAGACCCCACCGCCTCCTATGGCCGACTCTGGGTTGCCTTCAGGTGTTGGCTGTCGGGGCACACGCCTGCGGGCCCAGCCTGGCCGGCTGGGGTCCCCACCCGTGGAGACGGTCCTAGACCCAGTGGGGAGTGCTGTGCCTCCTGGCTCTGCCCACCCGTGGCCAAGCAGGAACTCCAGGTGCAGGGTGGGCCAGAAGCCTTCTCATCGGCCCGCAGCTGGCTGGCCCAGTGCTCCTGGTGGGGGCTCTTGCATGGTGAGAGTAGGGGCCCCCCCGGGAGCCATGCTGGACCCAGGAGCCTCGTTGGGGCCTCCTCCCCAGGCAGCTGACGGGCCCCGGACAAGCCTTGGTGGGGAGCAGAACCTCTGCATCATGTAGTTCTAGGACATAAGGAGACCTCCTACTTGAGCTGTCTGTACCCCAGAATCAAACCCAGAACCTCAGAACCAGATGTAGGACCTCGGAATCCTGCACTCAAGGTGGCAGGACCCAATTTCTGTTTTATATGCTCATGAACTTTAAACCTGGAAACATATCCTTACTAGGTGTTTTATCAAAAAAAAAGTTTTCATATTTATCTCTATCCCTAACCCCCCAAAAATAGGATGTCTTATTATTGAAGATATTTTTAAAGCACAAGTCTCTGCTCATTTTTGTCCAAGTGTGGGGAGAGACTGGAGAATAAGTGGCCCCAGACTCAGGGCTGGGGAGCGGTGCCCTTGTCCCAGGGCAGGGGCTCCAGTGCCCCTTGGGAGGGGGGAGACAGCCTGTGTGCTCACCTTCTTCCCACGCCCTGGGCTCCACCAGGGCCCGCCTCAGAACAGTGGCCCCAGTGGGTGGCTGTGCTGAACCCTGCCCGGGGCATGAGCTCCTTCGCTGAAAGTGGGCCAGAGCAGTGCAACCCACAGCACCTCAGAAGTCAAGAGGCAACAGGAAGTGCCGCCCGGGCCCAGCTGGATGGGGTCCCCAGAGGCAGGCTGGCTGGGGCAGGAGGGGCTGCTTGGTGCCAGGCACAGTGCCATCTTTGCCATCTCACAGGCCCTATGAGTTGAGTGCTCACCACCCCATCCCCTACATTTCTGGGAAGTTAGGTGAGTTGAAGCTGAAATTGGCTCAGGGCCCTGAGACCACAACTCCCACAAGAACAGAGATGGCAGCATGGGGACAAGCTGTCCTGAACTGCCAGGACCCGGGTCCCAAGCTGCCCATGCCCGAGGCAGTGGGGAGGACAGTGCCCTGCACAGGACGACAGGCTGTCAGCACGCACGCAAGACCCTCTCCCCACCTGCCCTCACAGGCAGAGCCACCCCAGGTGCTCTCTGAAGGTCAGCCAAGCTCCTCTCCTGGGGCTGACCCACCAGGGCCAAGCCCAAGCACTGCCTGACCTCAGGGAGGGGCCTTGTCCACAGCAGCGCGAACAGGTCAAACATGGGGACAGGGGCCACCAGGAGTAACAGCTGAGGAGAACAAGATGGCAAAAAGAAACATTTAATAACGAGGGGGAAAGGGCAGAAAGGTGCAATCCAGGCAGGCAGGTTGAGGGCAGGACATGCCGCCTTCTAGGGTCTCCAGAGAAGCTGTATCAACGGAGGACGTGGGCGGGGGAGGCCAGCACTGACCACGGCCCAAGGCTGCAGCACATCTACACGAGGGCTCAGCAGAACTGCGAAAAAGGGGGTGAGGCCTCCAGCCTTGTGGCCACATGAGGCTCCCCAGAGAGACGGCCGCACAGGCTCACCCAAGGCTGCAGTCTCCACCCACCATGCCCAAGACTCCAGGAGGCTGGCTGGGCAGGGCCATCCCCAGTTCACACCACAGACCCCACAGAGGCTGAGACACCCCACCTCCAGAGAATGGAGTGGAAGGGGCAGCCTGAGCCCGCTCACCCACCTTCCAGCGGTTTCCACACTCGTTGCAGACAACGAAGGTGGTCATGGGTTCATCAGAGCTGCGGGTCTGCACCTGTAAGGAGGGCTGGGTGAGCCTCCATGCTCTGCTGCAGGGAGTGTCCCCTCAACATGGGCAGAGCTGGCCTTGCAGCCGCTGAGCTCCCATAGGTGACCTGATCCGAGGCCGCCTTGTGACTCCAACCTTCCAGAGCTGAGCCTCCGGGGGAGGGAGACAGTGTCTATTGGGGCAGAGGCCCTTGCGTGGGCTTGAAGCAGCTCACATTGGCTGGGGACCAGCAGGGCCCAGACTTGGCTAGGCAGGAGGGTCCCAATGGTGGGGGGAACTAGCGGGGGTCCCCAGTGCCCGTGGCTGCCTTCTGGAAGGCCCAAGGGTGAGCCTCAGGCCACAGGCAGAGCCTCTTCCGACCAGAGGCTGGGAGCAGGAGACAGGCAGGCTCTGCACAGACCCAGGCCCCATGCAGCCTTTGAGGGGAAGGAAGGGCTGTCCTTGCAGCCCCTCACGAGTCCCATCTGCCAGGCGCAGCGGCCGCCTCAAGACACTCCCCCCTTTTTTTTTTTTTTGAGACAGAGTCTTGCTCTGTTGCCCAGGCTGGAGTGCAGTGGCGCGATCTTGGCTCACTGTGCAACCTCCACCTACCGGGTTCAAATGACTCTCTTGCCTCAGCCTCCTGAGTAGCTGGGATTACAGGCGTGTGCCATCACCCCCGGCTAATTTTTGTATTTTTAGTAGAGACGGGGTTTCACCATGTTGGTCAGGCTGGTTTCGAACTCCTGACTTCATGATCCACCTGCCTCGGCCTCCCAAAGTGCTGGGATTACAGACATGAGCCACCGTGCCCAGCCGCACTCCCCTCTTAACAGGGTCCCTGCCATCTCATGGGATCCACAGTCTCCCCGGCACACTCGTGTCCACCTCCATGGCAGGGACTGAGAGTCCTGCGGTCACTGCCAAGCAGCAGGCGGCACGGCCCTCCCACCAGCATCAACACCTCGAGGGCCCTCCGTGCAGCTGGGCCGGGCGGGCCGGGCCCTCCGACTTGAGCACCCGGAACAAGTGGACCCCACCACCCAAGACGCTGCCTCCTGGGGCCCAGGGTCCTGGGTAGAGGGGAGTGGTCCCTGAAGGTGGCCATCATGCCTTAGCCTAGTCAGGGACAGAGAGGCTCGGAAAACTCACAGCAGAGGCGGGAACAGGTATGGGCTCCTAGGAGGGGCACGGGATGGCCTGAAGACACTGGGCCCGGGGGAGGTGCCCAGAGGCTGCTCACCTGCGTGTAGGTGCAGTTCTTCTTTCTGCACTTGCCGCAGGTGAACAGGTCTGTCTGCGTGCCGCCAGTACGGGCCATCTGGTGCTCTCGGATGGCCTCCTTGGTCATGGCCTTACGGATCTCCTTCAGCTCATCACTGGCCATCTCCTGGAGCACGGGGCCAGTGGCTTAGCCCACCACTCCGAGGGGAGCAGCCCTCCAGCCCCTCCAACAGGGGCTCACCTCTGAGGTCATCACGGCAATCTGCTGGGGTGTTATGGCCCCACACAGCACATTCCGCCGCAGGTCAGGGTTCTTGGCATCCTTCAGGTTGGAGATACGACTCCGTACACGGTTCTTGTACTTCATGTCTGTGTTTCCAACGTCCCGGAAGATGCGTGCAAGTGTTTAAGGACCCACCCGAGGACAACGTCGCTGCCCTCCACCTACCACCTGCCCCGCTGGGGGCCATGCTGGGGTGCTGGCTGGAAAGGTTCTGCCCAGCCACACAGGGGTCGGTCTGCCCACCCGCACCTGGTGGACAGGTGAAGGGCTGCAGGGCTGAGCCTGCCACAGGCCCATTCCTGACTGAGACCCAGCTTCAGGCTACAGCCCCAGGGAACCTAGGCCCCACCAGCAGGCAGAATCAGCCTCTCAGCTGGTCTAGGGGCCTCCTGGAGCGAGACAACCTGACTACCCAGGCAGGTGACCCCCCCAGGCAGCTGACCCCCCAGGCAGGTGACCCCCCAGGCAGGTGACCCCCCAGGCAGGTGACCCCCCCAGGCAGGTGACCCCTGGACAGCTGGGCAGTGGTATCCAGCAGCCACCAGAGGCCACCAGGCCAGGCAGCCTCCTGACTCCACCAGAAACCCAGGCCCATAGCCCCTGCCCAAAGGATATATTCCTCGATCTGAGCCGACAGGCGCTGGCAGTCCGCACCGATGGCCACGTGGTCGTCTGCAAGAGGGAGCCCTGACTAGCTGCCCCCACTGGTTTCTCCACCTGCCACCCCTTCTGCCTGCAAATCACCCTGGCAGCTTAGCGGGGACATCCGTGTCCCTGGAAGAGGCCCACGATCCAGGCACAGGCCCCACGCCGCTGCCAGGGCTGCAGCAATGGGCTGGGGGAGGAGAGTCGCCCCTCTAGAAGCAGGCCTCCTCGGGCAGGCAGGGGCCTGGGCCGCCCTGAGAATCCCAGCGGGTGTCAGGAACCAGGGCCGGCCGCACTCACGGGCCGTCTGCAGGGCAGCAGTCAGCATCTCACGGCACTTGTTGCGTACGGCATCACAGGTGACAGGCACCGGAGGAAATGTGGTGATCCTTGGAGTCGACGGTGCCCTGGGCAGCTCCGGCCTCTTGCGGCTGCAGAGAGCCAGGGCCAGCTAGACTCAGACTCAAGGCTGCACCCCAGCAAGACACTGATCCCAGAACCAGCAGGTGCCACAGCATACTCCCCCTCCAAACCCTGCTTGCTCCACTCTGCCAGAGTCCAACAGTGGCCAGTGGCCCTGCCTATCTTGAGCCCAGATGTCTATGGGGTGTGCCCAGCAGCCAGGAGGAAATGGGCCGTGAGGTCCCCAGTGGGTCAGGATGTTCCCCAGGTGGGAACAGGATCCCAGACCCAGCAGTCCGCATCTGGGCAGCATCTCCAGTGGATCCGAATGAACCTGGCAGTTCCTGCCACCTCTGGGGTGCCCACCTGCGGGGCCGCAACACAAATACTCTGGTGAGGGCAGCTGCAGCTGCTGCCTGGTCAGGGAGAAGGAGAGACCCACAGCTGCCTGGTGGGGAGAGGGAGAGACCCACAGCTGCCTGGTGGGGAGACAAGGCAGAGGTCAGGGAGTGGGAGAGACCCACAGCTGCCTGGTGGGGAGAGGGAGAGAGACCCAAGCTGCCTGGTGGGGAGACAAGGCAGGGCCACCCAAGGCCAGGTTCTACTGTCACAGATGACCCCGCTAGGCACGTACAGAATGGGACAAGGATGCCCCTCAGGGCTGGACCCCAACATGAGGCTGCCCAACGACCAGGCTGCATCCACCTAGCCCTCCCCACATCCCCCTGTGGAAGTTGACAGAAGCAGGCGGCTTCCTGGAGAAAAATCAACTTGCAAAGGTGTCCCTGAGTTCCTGGTGGCCCCGTCACCACAACCCAGTATGGTCAAGGGCAAAGCCATCTCTCGGCCGTAGGCTGCCACCACAAGCACCCCCAGCTCCCAGCTGCAGGCCACAGAGCCCTCATCGCCCCTGGCAGCAGTGACCACACATGCACATGCAGGGCAGGAGAGGGGAGCTGGGTACCCGCCTTTGGTTCTGGGCAGAATTTTGCAGGAAGGAGGGGCCCTCGTTGAGTGAGGCTGAGGTTCGGGAAGCCAGAGTGGGCCAGCAAGAACCAGACCCAGCAGGGGGTCTTGGGGGAAGAGGCCAGGGGGCTCCCACAGGCCCACTCAGGGTATACGGCAGCTCTTGGCAGAGGAAGAGGCCAAGATGGCTGGCTGACAGCCAGGTGGACACAGACCCGTGTCTCAAGTGGTCAGTGCAGGCAGGACACACCACGAGGCCAGTGTCCAGCATGAGGTTGACCGACTCCGTGTGTGGCCTCAAAGCAGTGCCTAGGCACACGGAGATTAGCACCCTTTCTCTGGCAAGGAAACAGGCTGGGAAGCAGAAGTGTGTGCACCTGCCTTCCAGGTGTACTACCTGGGATCCGGGGCCTCTGAGGCATCCCTCGAGGACGTGGGCAGAGGCGTGCCCCTCGCCCGCTCCCTGGCTTTGGCATCTGAAGCATCTGCAGTTGAGGAAAGATCAGGGATGGGCTGATCAGGAGAAGGCAGAGGAGGGACGGGCGCAGACCACCACCAAGGTGCAGCCTCAGCCCAACCACCAACCCTCCCAGCCCCAGCCCCCAGCTCCCCAGCCAGCCAGAGGAGCCAGGGGCCAGGAAGGCGCCCAGCCTCAGTGAACAGGCCCTCACCCTCCCCAGCAACCTGTCCGTCTCTGCAGTCCCAAGGCTACCTCCCCAGAACACTTTCCGACACAAGCACCCACTCACAAAGGCCACCTCTGGGGCCTACCCTCCTGCCTGTCCTGGCGGGAGAGACCAAGTATGTCCCCAGCAAAGCTCTTCCTGAAAGCCCAGAGCCAGGCCCAAGGGCTGGGGATGAGGACATGCTTGTGCTGTGTACGGCCTGAGGGTCACACAGGGCTAGAGAGAGACTGTTTCACAAGGGTGTGGACAGAGCTAGGAGGGCTGCCTCCATCCCGGATAGCAGCATCTTTGCAACCCCAGTCACCCCATTGTCTCCAGGAAGAGGCAGCCTTCAGTCCAGCCCAGCCCTTCCCTTCCCTTCCCTCCCCTGGCAGGGGGCTGCCCCTCCGTTCCCTCTCAGTAGCTGAGGCGGCCCCAACTTCTCCCTCTCCTTTCCCCTCTCCTGACACTTCCCAGCCTCCTGGCCGTGACCTTCCCCTCTGTGTGACCTCCCAGCTCACCCCAGACTCTCAGTGCTGTCAACTCAAGTCCTGGCCTCAACGCTCCTCTCTCCTTGTTCTACCGGGAACCCTGCCCCCAGCACACACCCTTGCCTCCTAGGCCACCCCTCCCAGCCAATGCTGACAGGCACCCACTGATCCACTGCCAGCCCCAAGCTGGGTGCTTCATGGTCTGGGGTTGCCACTGCCCCACTCCCAGGTGACCTGGCTCAGGGTGGGCACTGCCAAGACCCTACACTGTGCTGACCAGCCAGAGGCAGCACTTCTCGGGGCCCTGGTCCCAGCACTCGGTGGGCACTGCCCAAGCCGCACCCAGGAGCTTCTTCCAGGACTTGATGAGGGACTTGGCCAGTGCAATGACCTCCTCGTCGGAGCTCTGCTTCCGAAGGGCGTTGACAGACATCCCGACTCGGGTGGACTACAAGGCAAGTGGTCTGAGTCGGGTGGAGGCAGGGGCCCACCCTAGGGGTCAGATCCTCCTGGCAGACCCTTGGTGGCTCCCACAGGACAGGAGCCCAGGACCTGCCAAGGAGGTAGATGCCTCTCCCAATATCCTCAGACTCCCTTCCCTGTCCCACTGAGCCCAGAGAAAGGCAGAGACCCTCTCCTCAGGAACAGGCATTTGTGCCAACTAAGGCCCGGTGGGGAGGGTGGGGAAGCCCTGCCAGGTGCCCTCAGAACTGCCATCTCCTGGGCTGTCCCCAGGAGCTGTCCCGGACCTGGGGCAGGCAGGGACCTACCTGGAGCAGGTGCAGCGTGATAGGCATGGCCTTCAGTTCCCGCAGCAGATCCATGGCCCCCTCCTGGAAGGAGAAGGAGGACCTTCATAAAGGACTTTAGATCTCAACGGACAATATCACCTCCTTCTGCCTACTGGAGGGGAACACAAGGCAGTGACAATTTGGAGATTCAACCTGGGGTCAAAAAGAAACCAAAATTCCTCTACCTGGAGACACCCAGGGCTGTTCCTGCACCACAGCAGGGAGCCCTTACTGCTCAGTCAAGAAGGGGAGGGGATCTGCAGCCTCAAGCATTCCAGGTTGTAACCCACATCCGTGGCAATGATCTCACTGACTTCACTGTAACCACCTCAGGTCACTGACCCAAACCAGAACAGAAATGCCAGCTCCCCTGGCAAATCAGGAGGCTTCAGAGCCATGGACCCTCCCCAGCAGCCAGGGCCACACCCAGGTGAAGGTGCAGCGCCAGGTTCATTCACTCCCCCGTGCGTTCATGCCCTGATGTGTAGGGCAGCCTCTCCCCAAAGCACACAACCCCCACCAGCTGTGAAGGAGGCCAAACTTTCAGGCACAGCCACAGCCAACACCTACAAGACCCACAGCCCCCTCATCTGTCCTCCAGGCCTCTGAGTTGCCCCCAAGCAGGCGAGCACCCCTCGCCTGGACAGTTGCAACGCACCCGTTCTCTCTGCCTTGTCTCCCCACCCAAGATCTGCGTTTCCTCCAGGTCCTCACACACTGAGGCCAGGCACAAACCGGCCACTTTTCCACACCAGGTACAGCTCCTCAGTGCTCCCCAAGGGCTCTGAGCCACCACTGAGGCCCTCTGCACCTGCAGCTCCACTGCCTGGGGCAGCCTCCCAGGACATCTTCCTCCCTCCCTACCGGGCTTTATTTAAACAACACCTTCTCAGCAAGGCCTCTCCTATCTAAAACTGCAACCGCGCCCTGCAACACCCCCACCTCCTCTGTAACACGTGCATGTGTTTCCACGTGTGTATCATTCCCTCTGCCCTAAGGTGACCTGATCAGATGTCCCACGACCCAGACCCCGCACAACCCCAGCAATCTGGGTGGCACGTCTGCTCACGCCGCAGCCCCTCTTAAACCCTCCCAGGCCGGCCCTGCCCCTTGGGCTGTACAGAGTCCAGCCTTGAGGCGACAGCCAGAGCCAAGGGCACTGGTTCCCTGAAAGCCCTGCACCAGCTTACGTGGCTCTCAGTGGGCTCAGGACCAGAGGTATAAAATCCCCCAAACCTGGCCCCCAAGTCCCCGAGGGGACCTCAGGCACTGGGACCCCCAGGAGCCCCTCTGCACAGTGCCCTCCTCCCCTCCTCATTCTCCCCTGGGGCTTCTACTCAAGCTGTTCTTCCACCAGAAACTCCCCATCAGTTCTGCTAGCCCCACCCAGCCCTCCCCTGGCTCCATGACCCACCTTTGCTTTTCCCACCTACAGCTTTTATCGTTTGTGTTTTGTCTCCTTTAAGAAGGGATACAACTCCATTCTCGGGTCCTCTCTGGAAACAGCTATGGATGGTTCACAGACCCCTACTTTGTGCTGACCAGTTTTCCAGGGGTGTGTGTGAACGCAATGATGAGGTGCTGCACCCAGCAGGAATGAGTGGGAGCCCACCCCTTCCCAGTGCAGACCCCAGTCCGGAACCCTGATCACAGGAACCCAGACTCAGCCCTGCTCAGCCCAAAAAGCATCCCCCAAACCCCTATTGCAGTCACACAGCCCTGGGGTGGCTGCACAAATCACCCAAAGCCTATGACTCAGCCACCTTCGCCGCCCTGGGCTGGCCTGGCAGACACACAGCTGGCCCTGCCCCAGGAGTTCACAGTCTGGATGGGAAAGCACAGGTCACGTTTATGGAGCCTGCCAGGAGTTCCACATGACCTGCGGCCAGACCCCTCCCCGTCCCCCAGGAGGCAGGCAGCATCAGCTAAAGATGCTTCTGTGGGAGGGTGCAGAGGTTGCCAAGGTCATGTCCGGAACTGGACCCCCACTGGCCTGGCCCCTTCAAAGGCCTTACACACAGCCTCCTCCAAAGTCTTGCTGTGGCCGCAAGACAACAGAGGCCCAGGCCGCAGTGAACAGAGCTGGCCAGAGGCTCCAGCGCCCAGACGCTCCCGGAGGAGGCTTGCCCCATCTCCCGGGTCTTATATAAGCACACCGGCTCTTTTCGGAGGGTGTCCACATAACTACCCACAACCCAAGTTACTGCGGGCTAAGTCCTGGCTAAAGAAGGGAGAGAATTTATTAGAGAAACCTGGTTCTTGTGGGGTGGGGACAGACAGGGAAGAAAATGGGCCCCACAGGCAAGACAGGTATCTGGCTGGCCGTGAAGGAGGATGACAAGGGCCAGGAAGAGGCAGGGGAGGCACGGCAGCTCCAGAAGAAAAAGGGATCCAACCTCAGACTCCAAACTGTTGCTGGCGACAAATGCTATGGGAGACGGAGCGTGACAAATGCTAGAAGAGACGGAGCGTGGGAGAGGGCTGAGTTGGGGGCGGGGCTCGGCCCGTGGGGATGCCCAGGCCGGGATGGAGGAAGGCAAGGGGCTGGGGCGGCCGCAAAGGAGGCCCGAACACCCCGCAGGCTCCCAGAGGCGGGACGGGGCCAAGGAAGGAGTCGACGGGCCAGGCTGGGGGTCTGGAGTTAAGGGACAGGGAAGGGTGCGGAGCCTGTGACTGCGGGCGAGGGGGCTTCTGAGTCCAGAGCGGGTGGCTCTCCCGGGACAAGGTCCAGGCCCGATCGCGGCCTCTGCCGGGGTTGCGGGGGTGAACGGCAGGGCTGGCTCGGGGCAGG